TGGAGGACAAACAAAACAAAACAAAATAGAAATATCCCCAAACTCACATCCATTGCAAACATGGATTAGTCGGCTTTGCATTACCACAACAAAAGGCCTGAGAGATAACTAACTTTATAAACACAGTTTATTTAACTTACAATTTTCAATGTAAGTGGGCCTGACACTTTCACTGGACTAATTTCGGTGAGAATGTCATAGCAAATGACAGATGACAAAGGCAGGCATGCATAGTGCAGTGAGTAGGCACATCTCACACAAAAGGAAAAAGTAAGGTGAGCAGGGCTAGGATTACTCTACTTTTGTTTTGTTTGCTTGTTTGAGACAAGATTTCACTGTATATCTGTGGCTGTCCTGGAACTCACTTTATAGATTAGACAGGCCTCGAACTCACAGAGATCCACCTGCCTCTGCCTCCCTGAGTGCTGGGAGTAAAAGCATGCACCACCACCGCCCGGCTAAGCTTACTCTTTTTATAGCATTCTTCCGACAAGAACTCAAGGGGTCATACATTGACTACCTCATGGCCCCCATGATTCTAAATACTTCTTTCTCAGATCCACCTCCTAATAGCACCATCCTAGAGAGCAAATCTTCACTCTAATGGTCCCTTGGGGCTTACTTAATTAAATCATACTCAAACTGTAGTATTCTACTCCTAAATGGTTTGGAGACTGTCGTTGAGACTAATTTAGTTATCTTGAATTATTCAACGCATCCTGCCATTGATTTTTCTATATATTATCTTTCTAGAGATTCTATTTGTAGGATGTTGGATTTCCTCAATTATGCCTTCAGTTTTCACTTCAATTTTCACCATCTTTTTTCTCTTGTACTGTTTTATAGAGTTTCTCACTTTTATCTTCAAGCTTTTCTTTTTACACTGCTGTAAATGTTTCTTAATTTGGAAGATATTCTTTTGCCCTGTCTCCTTATTTTTTTTGCTTGGAATGGTACCATGTGTAGTCATGTTTCCTGGGACACGAACCACTCTTTTGACCATGAAGAGAGACGTTATCAGTGTATTATAGATAGCAGCAAAGAAAAAAATAGGCAGAGTCGAGTTCATTGGAGATGAAATGCTCTAATAAATATGGAGCCTCCAGCAACAAGTTTTCATTTCTAAAACAATTAATTTTTACATTTTATTATGCGAGTGAGATTGTCATGATACCCATGTAGAGGTCCAATTCTAACCTTCAAAAGCTGGTTCTCTCCTTTCAGCATGTGGGTCCTGGAGACTGAACCCAGGTCATCAAGCTTGATTGCAAATACCCAGTCAGCCGTCTCGCTGGTCCTGACTTTTTGTTGTATAAAGTATTGAAACTTTATTGTTTAACCTGATTTTATATAGCCAATTTTAATAGTCTCCTCTGTATTTCTTCCCTTCAACTTATTCCTGTTGCTCCTTCTAGTGAATACAAAAAAGAAACCTGTGCATAATCATACACTCTGTAATCCTAGCTACCCTGGAGGCTGGGGCAGAAGGACCGCAAGTCTGAGGCCTGCATGGGTTGCATGAAAGATTTGATCTGGGAAACTTAGTGAGATTTTACTTCAAAATTTAAAAAGAAATGGAAAGGGGGCTTGGGATGTGAATCAGCTGTAATGTACTTGCTTCGCCTTAAATTAAGGCCTTGAATTTAGTCCTAAGTACCAAGAAGAAACCAAAATGAGGGGAGAGAAAGAAAGTACCATTTCAGTTTTAAGAAAGGTTTTATTCATTCATTCATTCATTCTCTCTCTCTCTCTCTCTCTCTCTCTCTCTCTCTCTGTGTGTGTGTGTGTGTGTGTGTGTGTGTCTGTATGTGTGTCATTTGCACGCAGAGCCTGTGGGAACTGAAGAGGGTATTGTATCCCTTTCTATTATAGTTACAGATAGTTGTGAGCCACCATGTGGGTGCTGAAAACCAAACCAGGGTCCTCTTCAAGAGCAGCAAGTACGCATTTTATGTATATGACGTTTTAGAACAAGAAATACAATAGGAGAATTTTTTTTATTTTTAATTTCAATTTGTAGGTAATTCTTATAGAACTGCAGTCTGACTTTATAGAACAAACTGATATTGTGTCTTCTATATCAGTTTAATTTTTAATAACTTAAACAGCATTAGTTTTAAATCTCTGAAAGTCTTATAGAATTCTTCTGTAAATCTATATGGGCCTGGGCACTTTTAGTAGTGTTTCAATCTCTATTTGTTATGTGTCTGTTTATGTAGTCTTCTTGGCTTAACCTTGGTATTTCAGATAATTTATTCATTTATTTTACCTTATTCTGAATTTCTTTAGTGATTGTTGTAATGGTCCCCTGTTCATCTCTGTTTCAGTTAATTTGAGTCTTTTGCTATTGTTCTTATTGTTATTGTTACTGTCAACTAGGCCAAGGGTCACTGTTGATCTTGTTTATGTTCTCAAAGCACCATTTAGATATTTTGATTCTCTGTATTTTTTGTTGTTATTACATTAATTTCTGTTTTAATTTTTATTATTGTTTTTACCATCTGCTGGATTTGGGTTTGGTTTATTGTTTTTCAAACTCTTTAGTTGTACCATTAAGTCATTTATTTGTATTCTTTCTCAATATCAAATATGGTTACTTAGAACTATAAATTTCCTTCTAAGGACAGCTTTTAATGTGTCCTAGAGGTTTTAATGTGTTGTATTTTATTTTTTATTTAGTTCTAAGATTTCTTTTAATTTTTTCTTAACTTTTCCTTTGCCTTATTAATCGTTCAATAATACATTATTTAATCTCCAATAGTTTGTATACTTTCTAGAGATTCAATTTGCTGCTGATTTCAAGCTCTATTGGATTGTGGCTATAAAGGATACACAAAGATATTTCCATTTTTATGAATTTGCTAACATTTGCCTTGTGTCCATGGTCTATTTTAGAGAAGCTTTCATGGGCTGCTGAGTTGACTTAGTTAGGGTTTCCACTCCTGTGATAAAACACATGGCCATAAGCAACTTGGAGAGGAACAGGTTTATCTCATCTTAGAGTTTATAGTCCATCATCCAAGGAAGTCAAGACAGGGACCTAGAGGCAGGAACTGAAGGAGAAACAGAGGATGGCTACTTACTGGCTCAGTTCCCACGGCTTGCAAAGTCAGCTTTCCTAAAGCACTTAGAACCATATAGACTAGAGATGGCACTGCCAACTGGGAGCTGGGCCCTCCCACATCAATTATCAAGCAATAAAATGCACCACAGGCTTGCCAAGAGGTCCATCTGGTGGGGATATTTCCTCAATTGAGGTTCCTCTTTTCAAATAACTATCTCATGTCAAGTTGACATAAATCCTACCCAGCACATGAGTACAATGGATATATTTTGGTGTTTATGTGGAATGGAATTTAAATACCTGTTAGGTCAATTTGATGAATAATTTTATTGAATTATGATGTCTGTTGATTTTTGTTCAGATGACCTGTATAATCTAATTTTCCATGAGTTAGAGTTCATCTGTGTCTTTGAGTCCACTAACCTACTTTCTGTAACACTGGGTGTACCAGAGTTCCGCACTTATATGTTTAGGATTATGATGTCTTTTTGGTTACCAAAACAAGGGAAAGATAAAAGAAAAATAAAGAAAAATTACCATCCACTATCTCTGATGAATGTAGATAAAAGCATCCTTAATAAAATACTTGCAAATTAAATAGAGGCGTATTTTAAAGATATCATCTAGCAGGATCAAGTTGGATTTATCCAAGAGATTAAGGGAAGGTTCAATACAGGTAAGCTAATAAATGCAATAAATCATATAGACTTAAGAACAAAAATCTCAGAAGCTGCAGAAAAGCATTTGTTTGACAAAATTCAACATGCCTTCATGGTAAAAGTCCTAGATAAAGTAGGAATGGAAGGAACATACCTCAACATAAAATGACTATAAATGACAAATCTATGACTGACATCATTCTAAATGGAAAAGAAATTCAAAGAAATTAAATGAAACAGGCAGGTGCCTTTGTCATATTTCAATTGCCACGACAAAACACCATGACCCAGGCAACTCATAAAAGAAAGCATTTAATTTGGAGGCTCACAGTTCCATATGCTTAGAGTTCAGGATAATCATGATGGAGAGCAAGGCAGGAGAGAGACAGGCATAGCACTAGAGTACTAGCTGAGACCTTAAATCCTGAACCACAGACACAGGGCCGAGAGAGATAAAGAGAGGGAGAGAGACAGAGGAGACAGAGACAGCGCTAAGGGGAATGGCATGGGCCTTCTAACACATCTCCTCCAATAAAGACACACTTCTTAATCCTTCCCAAACAGTTCTACAAATTGGGTAATGCTGGGGGGATTACCATTCCGGATTTCAAGATATACGGGTACTTGTATAAAAACAGACATATAAATCAATAGAACAAAATAGAAGCCTCAGATATAAATATGCAAAATTTAAAACATATAATATTTGACAAAGATGCCAAACATACATATTGGAGGAAAGATAGCATCCTCAGTAAATGATCTTTAGGGAACTAGATGTCTATTCATAGAAGAATGAAATTAAACACAAAAACAAACTCCAAAGGGATCCAAGGCCTCATTATGAAATCTGAAATGCTGAAACTGTTAGAGGAAACATAATCATACCCTATAAGGTATAGGAACAAGAAAAGACTTTCTAAATAGGACTCAACTGACTTAGGAATTAAGGCCAACAATTGACAAATGGAAACTCATAAAACAATAAATTTTCTATATAGTAAAGGAAATCATCAATTGAGTGAATAGGAAGCCCACCAAGTAGGAGAGAATCTTTGTCAGAAATAAATATGATAAAGGGTTAATATTAAGGATATACAAAGGAATTGAAAAATAAAGTCAAGAAAACAAATGATCCCACTAAATGGGGTATGGATCTCAACAGAGTGTTCTCTAAAAAAGAAAGAAAAATGGTTTACAAAGAGCTCTAAATGTGACCAACATCCTTAGAAACTAGAGGAGTGTATATTAAAACTTCTTTGAGATTTTTGTCTTACCTCACTCAGAACAGCTAAGAACAAGAGAACGGCGACAGCAGACAACAAATGCAGCGCAGGTTTAGGGGACAGGAGACCCCTCATCTGCTGTTGGGATTGCAAACTGGAGAAGCCACTATGGAAATCAGTATGGGAGAACTCTAAAAAAAAAAAGAAAAAGAAAAAAAAACCCTCTAAATATAGGTTTACCATATGATCCTGCTGTACCACTCCTTGGCATATTCCCTAAGGACAAGACATTCTACTCCACGGATACTTGCTTAGCCATGATCATTGCTGCTTTATTCATAATAGCTAGCAAATAGAATCAACATAAATATCCTTTAAGTGATGAATAAATAATGGAAATGTGGTATATTTATGTACTGAAATTCTATTCAGTTATGAAGGAAAATTAAATCATCAAATTTTCAGGTAAAGGGATAGGACTAGAAAATATCACACTGAGTGGAATAACCCAGACCCAGAAAGACACATGTTACACAATCTCTCTTGTTTGTGAATCCTAGCTCCTAAGCTTTAGATGTGATTATAGTACCTGTATTAATTGTGTATACCAGGAAAGCAATAAGACACTATGGAGGTGGGATGGGGAACAGTAATTACATAACAAGGGATAGTAGGACACAGATGCTCTAGAGGGGAAAAGAGAAAAATGAATAGGCTTTGAGTGGAGGGAGAAAGAGGAAAGAGAAATAGATAATGCTAAGGCAGTTCGAAAAAGCCACAGGGAAACATTATTTTGATTATTTAAATAAATATAAATGTATATTTGTTATATAATATATTAATATAGTTTCTTTTCTTTTCTTTTTTGGCTTTTTGAGACAGGGTTTCCTCTGTAGCTTTGAGGCCTATCCTGGAACTAGCTCTTGTAGACCAGGCTGGCCTCGAACTCACAGAGACCCACCTGCCTCTGTCTCCCGAGTGCTGGGATTAAAGGCATGTACCACCACTGCCCAGCTTTTTAATATAGTTTCAATCAAGTTACAAAACACAAAGTAACAATGCTATCCCTAATATTCAGTGACTTGATGAACGGACCAAGTGATGAACAAACACTTAAAAGAAATCCCACACTAGCTCAGAAATAAGAAATAGATAGCATTTATTTAGGGGTAAACTCACAAATCAGAATTTTCTTCTTGAACGGTGGACAGAGATCGAATCCAGCAATCTGACAATCCGAACGAGCAGCTGGCGAAAAGGAAGGAAAGAAAGGGCTGGATGTAGGCTCTGCATCCGCATGTATATAGTATAAGAGGCCACGCCCTAATAGGAGGGTAACCACAAACTGCAAACTTCCTACAGCAGTGATTTAACAAATCCCCATTACAGATCACTATAGAAATCCACAAGTGGTGAAAATGCAGAGATCAAATGACGCTGGGGTGCCCATTCCCAACTGATACAACTGCACACATCCCTTATACCTAAACCTCAGGGAATATAGCAGAAGAAGGGTCAGAAAGAGTATAAGAGCTAGAGGGCCAGGATATCTGCTATGAGACAGTGTCTTCTATATATGACAGGGAAGCTACACCTATGAAATCTCAACAATATGTTCGCCTTAACAATACCAGCACAATGACAACACAAATTGTCTTTGCATCAAGGAAGTCTCATAAGACATCATCACTTGATGAAGAGCTATAGGCAATTAGTGGCACTTAGAAAGATTCAACCTTCTACAGGATGAGTTCTCTGATAAGGTTATTCAATCACACATGGTCTTCCCTAAACATATATATATATATATGTGTGTGTGTGTGTGTGTGTGTGTGTGTGTGTGTTCCAAAAACCTATATATGTGTATTTGTATATATGTATACATATACATACATACACACATATATAGTTATATATATATGTCTTCCCTAACATGTATATTCAAGTGTATCTATACATGAACATGTGTGTATATATACACATATATAGGTCTTTCCTAAACATATATATGTATATGTGTATTCCCTAGACATATGTGTGTGTGTGTGTGTACATACACACAGAAACATATTCACATAACACTAAATGGATTCAGGAAGTTGTATTGTGTATACATATGTATGTATATTTACATAACAACAATAATTAAAGAAGAGGTTATGAATCTGAGTGAGGGGGCACAGGAAGAATGGGAGGAGAAAAATGCTGTAAGTACAGTACTTATATATAAAAAATAAAATAATTTAAATTAAAAGAGTAAGAACTGTCTCCTGAATCAGTCTAATTTAGACTTCTCAATATGAAATTGTCATGCCCAGGGCATGAAGACAAGCCTGTCTAAAAAAATTTAAACTCAATCAGCTTCAGATTATGTCTTTATTGTTACTAATGTTTGTTTTGAGACCATGTCTCTCTGTGTAGCCTTGCCTTGCCTAAAACTCATCCAATAACCTAGGTTGACCTTGGACTCCTCTCAGCTTTTGGAGTGCAAAAATGACAGACCTGTGTTTCCCTCCCCAGTCAGGCAATTGCTGAGTGGCTGACAAACACCTGTGTAGAATTTGAAGGACACCTTCGACTCTCCAGCTGTTTGGCTAAACAATGTCAAATTTCTAGATATTCAGGAATATCTAGGCTATTGATTTAACTATTCAAAAATTTCCATTTTGAATGTTAGAGGGAATTGTAACCTTTCAGGAATATCTAGGCTATTGATTATTAATTATTTTTCCAGATATTTAAAAAAATCTCTGTGAATTTAAATCTACACTAAGAAAAAAAATGCTGTTGTGGATGTAACATGAATTCAATTCTGTGTCTAAAAGCGAAAATGGTTTTGGAAATAGCATCTCTTCTCAGATAGTGGTGGTTCACATATTAAATCCCAGCACTTGGGAGGCAGAGGCAGTCGGATCTCTGAGTTCAAGGCTAGCCTAATGTATGGAGAGAGTTCAGAGAGAGTTACAGAACAGCCAGGGCTACACAAAGAAACCTTGTCTCCAAAAAAACATCAAAACAAAGAGAGGAGAGAAGAGAAGAGAAGAGAAGAGAAGAGAAGAGAAGAAAATAAATAGCATATCTGTGTTGAATAAAGAAGATCCAAAAGAATTTCAAGAGGCTGGTGAAATGGTTTAATTCGCATAGGTGGATCCATACATGAAGCCCTAGGTTCCTTTCCTAACACTGAGAAAACTGGGCATTGTAGTAATACATGCCTGTAAGTCTATCACTGGGGAAATGAAGAAAGAAATATTTTACAAGTTAAAGGCCATCCTCAACTACACAGTGACATGTCAGATCCCCTAAGATACATGAGATCCTGCCAAAAAAAATTAAATTAAGTCAGGCCTGATGGTTATTTGCAGTGTTTGGAGGTGAAGCAGGAAGATTAGGAATTCATGGTTGTCACTGGCTACATATCGAAGTTCCATGCCAACTATGAGGTACACGGGCTCCTGTGTTTTTTAAAAATTAATTACTCCAAAAATTCTCAGTAATAACAGCTGGTGCAAAGAGAAAACAAAATAAGCAATGTTGGCTGCATTTAAATATTTACCAGGTTAGTAATTATTTTAAAATGGCAACTAGCTTCAAGATCTGATAGGATAGAATCCATACAAAAAATGTAAGACTATGGATATATTCAGCTACTGAACATAGGCTTAGCATATGAGGCACCCTGGGTTTGATCTCTAGTACAACAAATCGCTCTGCAGTACTTGCATGTGTGTGCATACACGCACACACACACACACACACACACACACACACACGGCATCCAGAGATAGCAATTTTTTCTTTCAAACAACATTTAATTTAAATGTGAAATGTTGAGATATCAAAGAATTGTCAACATTGTCCTTCAGAATGAGAGTAAGAAGAACTAAGGTAGGATATCAGACTTGTAGTCAGTCCCATAAGAAGACTATAAAATGAGATAGTCAAGAATAAAGAATCTGATAGTCTGCTTTCCTTTGCTATACTAAATAGCTAAGAGAAATCACAGAAAAGGATTTCAGTTCATGGGTTACTTGAGTCCAATATGTTTTACAAGATGATGCCTCCAATAGCTTAGCTTTCTTTCACTAGGCCCCATATCCAAAAGGTTACACCACTTCCCAGATGGAGGCCAAGCTTTCAACACAAGAGACTTTGGGGGAACATTTCCTGTACAAAACAGAACAAAGAGATTAAATGTTACAGTAAAATTATTACAATTGATTTAACTTTGTTTACTACTTTTAATAAAAGTCAAATCAATATAGGATATATCTGGTGCTTAGTTTTAATATTTTGATTTAATAAAATGTTATAACAATAAACTATAATATAGATAAAACATTTTATCTTTATAGTGTTCATGATGCTTCTATAGAATTACAAGTAAATGTAACTCTAGGTGTCCTATACTTTTCTGCAGAATTATTCAGTTTAAAATTAATATTTTATTAATTCTTTAAGCATTTCATGCATACATACAAAGTATTTGATTAGATTCCCTTTCACTTCTTCCCTTAACTCCTCACAGATCCGTCTTCTGTCTCTACACCCCTAACCCACCCAGTCCAATTTGTGCTGCTCATATAGTCATAGTCACAGATGTGAGGTCATCCACAGAAGCATGGTTGACTAACTGGTGACCATAAGCAAACTGTCATTCTCTCCTGTCTTAGTTAAGGTTTCTATTGTCTAAAGACATGACCATGGCAACTCTTATAAAGGAAATCATCTACTTGGGGCTGGTTTACAGTTTCAGAGGTTTAGTCCATTATCATCATGGCAGGAATCATGGCAGAATGCAGGCAGACATGGTGCTGAAGAAGGAACTAAGAGTTCTACATCTTGATCCATAGGAAACAGGAAGTGAACTAAGTCCCACTGATCATAGCTTGAGCATATGAAACCTCAAAGCTTGTCCCCACAGTGTTACACTTCATCCAACAAGGCCACACCAGTGACACTCTTTCTCCAACAAGGCAACACCTCCTAATAGTGCCATTCCCTATAGGCCAAGCATTCAAACTCATGAGTTTGCAGGCTGGGGGGCATTCCTATTCAAACCACCACACCTACCTTAGAATGCTCCATGTTCTAAAAACTTTTATTCTATGAGTGAAATACAGCACCTAGCAGATCAATAGGGAACTGTATTTCTAATACCAATTAGTGACTGTATGTCATAATACAGACATGAGAAATGGAATTGGTATGCACTGTAACAGATGGTAGTAGTCCATACAGATGGTGGTTTGTGCTATATTAAATAACCTTGTAAAATGTAGGATGTATAATTATGTTTCATATTCCTAGTATCATATGAATTATGATATAGATGAAATATAATACAGATTTTGGAATATAGTGGGTGTATCTCTTGGCTCAATATATTTTTGATAGTTTCTAGATTATAAAATGATTTTTTATTATGGAGCACCATCTAGAGGAAATATAAGAAAAAAATCCTAAGGAAAAAAGAAGCGAAACAAAAATTAAATTAAAAACAATCAGGCACGTGTGATGTATCATGACTATAATCCCAGCTCTTGGGAAGTTGAAGCAGAAGGATAACAAGTTCCAGGTCAGGTTGAGTTACACAGTGGGGTCCAGGTTAGCCTGTGTTACATTGTGAAACTGTGCCTCAAACACAAAACAAAATATAAAATTTTTCAAGCAACTAGCTTCATCGAACCACCAGTTGTAGGATTATATATAGTTTTGAAATTCTTACCTTATTCAGTAACCAATTAGATTTTACATAAAGAGACAAATTAAGATGGCAATGCACCTACCTAGTATGTAGATGGCCCTGGGAGTCATCCTTAGCAACCTACACATATACAAAATGGAGCCTTAATAATACATATACAATGTTTACTTTTTATTTCTTTTTTTTAAAAGGAAATGTCTCATGTAGCCCAGGTTAGCCTTTAACTCTATGTAGTGGAGGATGACTTGAGCTGCTGATCCTGCTGCTTCATCTCCACATGCTATGCTTACAGGTTTATGTACTTTGCTCAGCTTTTGTTTCTATTCTTCCCAAAGAGTTTTCTATATCACATATCTCTGTAGATATTCATAAATTCCGTGTTCTGCTTCCTACATCATTAGGAAGGGAACATGAGGCAAAATATAGAAATCTTGCTTGGTGTTATGATATTACTAATGGAATCAGGAGTTAAAATTTTGGATTTGTGTGATTCTTAGAATTGGAGTTACGCTAGAACATGATCCTTTAGGTCATCTCATGG